CTTCCTTTGCAGGGGACTTGGCTTCCTTCTCTGGGGACTTGACCTCAGCTGGGGACTTGGCTTCCTTCTCTGGGGATGCAGCCTCCTCTGCTGGGGGAGACTTTGCTTCTTCTCCCCCTTCTTCCTCCTCTTTGGCCTCTTTCTCCTCTTCTTCAGTCACTTCTTCAGTCACTTGGATCTCCTCCATCTGTTCTTCCACAATCACAGTTTCCTTCTCTGACTTTTCTACCACCTTGACCTTCTCTTCGCTTTTGACCTTTATGTGAGTAGATGTGGAGGGAATTTTGGGGAGTCCTTCTGGAAGGGAGAAAGGACTCGGGCCAAACCCAATCCGACACTCTTCGCCTTCTAGGAGTTTTCTGCAGAATGAATAATGGAGCACATTACCATTAACTCAGAGCAGATCTGCCAGTTTGGGCTCTTCCTAGGTTATCCTGAAGCTCCATGGCATCCAATGATATGGACTTCGGTGAAGGAAGAATGTGAATGAATGGTGGGTACTTTGAGCTTGGAGAAAGTCACTTGGCAAATCATCCCAGTGACCACCCAGAAACCATGCCCCCATAGGATTATTCTTGTTTAATGTAGCTAAAGCTGTAACTTATGAAATAAAACTTTTTTCCCCCTAAAAAAGGGCCCTCAAGAGAGAGCTCTGAAATTAACAAAAGTTATATTTATTGTCACTCAACTAAAATGTTAATCACGGGAAAGCTGGGAGTCTGAGCAAACAATTCCACATGTATAAATTTTGGCTTAGAAGATCTTAGAATGTCCCCATTTGAATTTCAAGGGTCTCCTGTCACCTTATATTGTCATCCTTTGGGTTTTAGAATTAGGGTAGAGGCAGCAGTTTCTCCTCTTGGCTTTGCTACTCACTAGATGGGTGACCTTGGCCAAGCTACTCAAACCCCTTAAGCCTCCATTTCCTCATTGACAGAAAGAGGGTCATAAGAGGGATCAATTGAACATTTTGTCTCTCAGATGTATTCAACTGAAGAATTTGTCCCTGGATATTTGTAATAAAACATACTAAAACCAAAAGTCAAAACATCATATTAGTTAATACTAAATTTTTCTGATACATGCAGTAAAAGGGAATTGAAAGCATTATTTCCAAATTGATCATGCCACACAAGTTAGGCCAAATATGAGTCCAACATATCATGACGAACCCCTCTCATGGTCTTA